GGCAGCCCTGATAATTTTCGTCGTCCAGTGCGAGACCAAGTCTTTAACCAGACCGTGACGATTCGTGCTGGTTGGGCTCTAGGGAACTAGGACCTCAAGAAAATGCGCGCGCCTCGTAGTAGTAAACCTCGAGCTGCCGAAGCGGACTCCCAGGTTATGGGTAGGCCTCTATGTTCTCCATGAGCATGGCGATTCGGTTTATTTACAAGTTGGCCTGACGGTGTTTCTCAGTGTGTCACTCTGTTTACGTACCGGAATGTGAGAATTATGGTTTGAGAGCTAGGTGCCCTCCTACTGGGGCTGAAAACATCATTTGCTTACAAAGCAGTGAAGTAGGATGCGGACTCAATCGATAGCCAACATTAGGAAAGGCTTGCGCATTCGCAAGTACTGCATTCCATATATTAAATTCATGGAGTGTATTATAACAATGTCTTCACAAAATGAGAATATATACTGAAGAATGAAGAGCTTGTTGTTGGCACTTGAAAACAGCACTACGAACTCTTTAGTTCAGTATCGTATTTTCGATTAAGATATTTTAATATAAATTGAAAATATTGTTGGAGTGAATAGATTGTATTGACTTAATTTATATTGTTTTGGAGGTTCCCATTTCATGAACGTTGTGATAGACTTTCTGATAGATGGTGAATTTTAAGATCTGAAAGACGTATTCCAAAATTTTCATGATTACAAAAGCATAAAAATAACAACAGTTTCTACAACACCACATAGTTCTTGCATTTTGTATATCTGTTTCGTAATAATATAATACTTGTATTCTATGACTACTTCAGCCACCAGTGGGAAAACCCCTTTCACAAAACGAAGAGAGGTAGATTCGAACATAATATTGTAACGTATTAGCCAGCGTGCCTCGTGGCATCTATTTGGGGACGCTTGGTAGAGGATTAGCCTCGCCACAGGAAGGAGAGAAGGGTTTTTCCGTAAAGGCAAGAACGCAGAAACGGGAGACACAAGGCTTTGGCGTCTTCCGGCTTATAGAAACTTTTCACTGTTATAACAAGCGAGGGGGTGGCGTGACGTAGTAGATCACGTGGACTTCGCCTATATAACAGAATGTACAGAGCCAGTTGGGTGGGTTCTGGAGACAGTGGGAGAACCTCGTGCGTGTGCACAAAACTTGGCGCCACGACGGTGCATATGCGAGCCCGGCTCGCGAGGCTCGAGTCACTAGTTGACGAAGCCTGCGGACTTTAGGTCCTTGGGTGACTGCGGTCACGGGGGAGCGATGCTGTGTGCGTGCTCCGAGGTGAAGAGTGGTTGAGTGCCACGATTCACGCCGATTCTCAATCGGATAAGATCGCTCCTGCGATCGAGGCAAACCAGCCGTTGGTGCGCCAGAACGGACTTTGTGTCCCAGCGTGACATCCGGTCACGGAAGCTAGGCTTTGTGCGCGCTTCAAAAGTAGGAGTGGCGAATGCCACAATCAAAACCATCTTCAATCGGGTTTGGATCACTCCCGCGATCAGGGGATAGTAGGTCTCTCAGAGCTAGGGTGTAAGTAGATTATTAAGTGTATATATTTGTTTTGTTTTCTTGTTAATAAATATATTTGTTATATGAAATCTCTGTGTCTGTGGTCGCTGTGAGAATCCATGACGTCACAATATACTTAATGTTTGCAAATTCAAAAGTTTTAATGAAAATGGATATTGAATTCCGTGTCTCGCGATTACCCTGAATTCAGACACATACCCATTCGGAGAATGTTTCTGCAGTCAAGTTGCTAAAATGGTACTACCATTTAAGATGTAAAATTATTACGATAAACTAACTTAAAATTACGTGAAATCTAATATTATTTTGAAAAAAATGGTTCACATAAATTAAATACCTAATTTTAAAGAATAAATTCCATTAAGAAAGTTCTCAGCATATATTTTGTCGTATTCGTAACTTTCGCAAGTTTTGAAAGTTCAGGTATATTTTAAGCGTCTTTTGTTCTATCCTAGGACAAAACTTGGATCTTATTTGGCAAAAAATTATGTTGCGTTTATTTTAAGCAAAAGTTACGCAAAAAAACTACTCGATTAAAAAATATACATTACGTTATTTAAGAATTTAATGTTTTAGAACATATTTCGTTGAGGGAAAAATCTGTCATCAATATTGTATGATGCATTCATACATGATATAGTAAATATTTGCGATTTTAATTTTTAGCAATTTAAAAAAATACTGAGTGTTCGTCGAAAACGGGGTCTACGCAATTTTTCAAACGTCCTTTGCTATTGCCGATGAAAAAGTTAAAGAAAAATTTGGAGCCGCTTTGAGAAAATATATATTTTTTAAATTGCCTATATTTCACAAAAAATATATATTGCCTATATTGCACAAAATTTTATTTTAACTTATTTAAAGGTCTGTCATTGAAAACAGATTTTATGAAGACACATTTCTAACTTCAATATAGTAGTTGTAGGAAGACGCCAAAAGTCTTTGAACTTTTGAATTCAAAGTGTTCAAGGAATAAATATGAACATATGTCATTGTTCAGAGTCCTTTGTATAAATCCGAGGAAACATTTGATAAAAAAATGGAGCCCTCTTTTATAAAATCTTGAAAATGCTTCATGTAACATACCCTCAGAAATCAAAATATCTGTTTCAAATTTGCAAAGCCTCGAGTTCGGCCAGATCGGTCGAAGAATGTAAATTTTAAAGAAAATGATCTAGACGGTTTAGGCACACGCATTGACCATAGACAAGATGGACAGACCGAAGGAACAGCCGGCCGGACAGTCACACAGACGGGTTATCGTAAATCAATTTTTCGGGTTTAAGAATCCACAAAAAGGCGATGCTGACGGTACGTGTTAGTGGTAGTAATTTACTACATTTAGGAATAAGATTAATCTACTTTTTCTTGTATCAGGGTCCTACAATACGTAAGTAAGTATGGCGAGAGAGTAATAATATAATCACACCTGGAATCTCTGTTTTTAATACTCATGGTTATTAAAATGTAACAATTGTTCAATAATATTTTAATAATACAAACTTTCCAAAATAATTTAGACCCATCTTTCCATGTCCGCCTAATATATGGCCAAATGCCCTAAGAATTTATACTCAAGAAAGTTGCGGGCAACTAAACATGTAAGTTGAACTTTTTCCATTTTGACTGAGGCAGTGGACGTTTCTGTTACACATTATTAATAAAGTGTTTTGAGGAAGTGAAATCTAGAAACAAGTGTGGGGAAAAAAGTTAGTAAAAGTGAAAGTTAAGAAACTACGCAAAGTATGCAAAAGTTAGTAAAAGAAACTACACAGCCAACAGTAATAAACACGATGTCAAACGTTGCGTATTAAGGCTAAATTAAATTTCGAATTTACTGTGTTTGGGTATTTTACTGCATCTCTGAATCAACAAAATGTATCATCGAAGAGAAACAAACTTATGTTCACAAGATTGTATATAATTAATCTCTGATGTGGATGTTGTAGAACAAAAATGTCAGTTCCCAGAGGTTCACTATAAAAGAAATCGATTGTACCTTGTAATCAGGGTGATCTTTCTTGTGAGCAGTACGCAATCTTTCAGCTTCCTCTATGAATGGCTGTTTTTCTTCTTCACTCAGTATTCTGTGGAAAAAATCAAAACATAAATTTTCTTTTGGCAAGAAAAAAATAATTCTAATGCAAGTAGAAGAGACTGGTGTAGGGAAGAGGGGGGTTAATGTGCACTGGGCGCTACTATGGACAAATATGGTTATTCCATAGGTATCACATGTAATCGGGCAAAATTATTTCTTAGATGATGGTCCCACAGTCGGTCTTTAAGCCACACAAGTTTGGAAGGTAGATCTTCTATTATCGTTGTGTGTTTGCCCTGACGTGCGGCACTGCGGCGTCCTTGCCCTGAGGAAGCCTGCAACATTACAGGCGAAACGTGTCGCGGCGTCCCCCGGACAGCGAAGAAAATATGGATTCGAGCCGCGGTCGCTCACGTCTACAAAATTTATGCGGATTGGAAACACTTTTGCGGTTTCAAGTTGTTTTATAATATTGTGTAATTGTTACAAATAATGCTAAAATATAACGTGTTTAAATACGTGAGTTGTCTGCAGAATAATGTACCAAATGCTACCACGTCTTTCAGAATTCTTCTTACACTACTAGGATATGGATAACTGGTGAACATCGTTTTTAAGCTCAAACATAACATTTTACTACACCTAAATAAAGATACATACAGTTATGTTTGTTAAGCTTCTCTAGGAAGATAATGTTGCTCGTAATTCGAGACGATATAATCCGAATATGAACGTTATTCCGTAAACTCCATAGTATGGATTCGTTAGTCTTATCTGACATCATCACAGCGAGGGCAGGTAGAGCGCGTCGTGACCTTGTGTGCCGGACTGTTACATTCAAAATATCCATTAAACACTAGTCGCAAAAAAATAAACATTTCTCAAAAAATGCTTATCTAACATATGACAATGTGTATATCAATGGATTTGTCTTTTTACGCTCGTCATGATAGATCGAAAATATGTACAGTTCCATTTGAAAACGCAAAGTTACCTCAAATTTTCGTAAAATACAAGTGATAAAATAGAAATGAATACACGTATCAATTAGCCTCATTGCCTCATGCACTTCAGTGAAAATTGTATTGCAATAACTTCAACCGCTCAAAAGTTACAGGTGGTGCTAAAGTTATGTGACATTATATATATATATATATATATATATATATATATATATATATATATATATACACATATATAAGATTTTTTTTACAAAAACAGAGCAATTAGGACTTGGTAAACTCTAAATTTTGTAAATGCGTCTGTAATGTTGAGGTGTACCAATGTAAACAAATTTCAAATAGAACAAAGGCATACTCATAATAAACAAAACATAGCCACAGCCACCATGTTCAACCTATTTTCTTCGAGGGCAGAACTTTCCTGCTTCACGGCACCTTACGTGTGATCGGTGTGAAGGAGTGATATGGAACCTCACCTCCACAGCTTGCCTAGCGTCTTGCTCAGCTCGGCGTTGTGCAGCTGTGGGTACTGGTCCGCCAGCTTCCGGCGAGCGGCCTGGGCCCAAACCATGAACGCGTTCATCGGCCGCTTGATGTGCTGCTTACGTTTGGCTGTTGATTTCTGTGTCACGGGAAGGAGAGTCCAATCATAACCTACAAACATAAGAAACAATTCTATATTTAGGTGTCAAAGAAGGAAACAACAAAACTCGAAAATGCGTTTTAGGTTAGTTTTAACATACTTTGTTTAAATAATAACCATCACATTTATAACGGCTGAGCTTTAAATATGCAAATTTTGGGGTTAAAAAACCTGTTAACATGCAAAACATGGAACGCGGAAATATGTTCATTTCTTATGTTGTAAAAGAAATAAGTATTTATCTACAAAGAAAAAAAAGCATACATTTGTATGTCGAGTTACTGCAAACAACTCACTTATTTTAACTACAGTAAGTCGTATTTGTGTACAAGAAATTGAAATCAATATTAATTCTTTCCGTAGAATTTGCAGCACTGAAATCATTCTTCCTTCCTTTGCGCGACAGTAGTCACTGGAGTACTGTAATAATAGGCAAGGTGACTAAAATCCAGAATCAAAGTGCATACTCGATTCTTTGTCTTTTAGATGTTGCACATTACAAAATATGTAAGGCTACAACTTCCGGTAGGCCGAACTTTCTTTGCTTCGTAACCCCCAATCGAAGAGAAGTGCTTCTTTCACGAAGATTTTCTTCAGCATCCCTCGCAACAAGGTCCCTTACGAATTGCGAATCTGGAGAAAGACGTCGCTCGAAGATAGCGAGTCTGTATCTTGCAATCTCCTCGAGGCGTTGGTACGTTTTGAATATCGTCTGCGATATTCACGTAAGTCAATACGAACAAACTAACTGAAAATCTTGTATGCGTATGTCTTGTTGATAAAAGGTCGCGTCAACTACATGAGAAATGCACTTTGTATTTGAAAATTATATATTGGTAAGGCAAAGCGCTTCTTTCTCTCTCTCTCTCTCTCTCTTTTTTTTTTTTTTTTTTTTTTTTTTTTTTTTTTTTTAACAAGTGGGGGACGTGCTGAGAAGTGTTTTAGATCTGGCGCGCATTTTGGCACACATTTTTCAGTCATGACGGTTTGGGAAAGATGGGAAATACCAACGTTTCACTTTCACAATCGACAAAATTAATTATGTTAATATCACTAATGGATTAAGGCCATGATTATAGGAAAACGTTTATTAAAAACGTTGAGACGTACAATTTTAAATCTTCGTCGTTTCCTCACTGGACACTGAATAGAAAGAATTTGGATATTTCCGCTCAAGGTATATTAGAGCTGTTTATTGGCCGCGGGCCGCAAAGTGTTTTATTTCTTTCATCTCTCTTCTTAACTATCATTATGAGATTTATATCGATAAATATAGATTTCTTTAAAGATGATTTTTTCAGTTAACTAAAAAATTACTGTTTTTAAGGTCTGTCTTGTTTCTTGTGCACCAAATATATACTATTTACATATGTACTTACGATTTAACGTAGTGGCACTTGAAAGACACAAGGTGGACGGGGAGAGGGGCACTTTCATCAAATCGGGAGCTTCTTTACGACATAAATTTTAGGTATTGAAGCTCCTGAGAGAATGATAATGACCCCCTCTCCTTCCAGCTCGTGACCTTCAAGTGCCACTATATTCAAATCGGAGAATAGAAGATATAATGCTCTAATTTTTTTAAATATGTACATGTTTTCTTCGTACATATAAAATGTCAAAGATTTTAAAATATTTTGGCATTATTATAAAATCACATTCTTTTCTCATCCTTTGGCCAGATTTAAAACATTTTTATTTTTTGTGTGTTCAATCCATTGATTTTACGGAGATGTGCATGTAATGTTACCAGTACTGGGTTAGGGCATAGAATGATTGGGGGTTTATTTTGTTCGAAGTCGACTCTTCGATTTTATTCGATTTGACATTTACTTTTGTTAGTTTTGTCTTAGTTAAGTGTAAGAAATTTTTCATTTTTTTTATTTAGAGTTTGTAAGATTCTATTGTTGGATGTTATGTTTGAATGTTTAACGATCCTTTATTGTCAATTTGTATGCTTATTGAAGCGTTTATATATAGTAAATGTAGTTTATCCTTGGGGTACCTTGAAATGATTTGAATGTCTTCTGCTGATCGACCTAGTTTGAAGTTTTTAACACAATCCGCCTTTAGTAAGTCTACTTAACTTTTTACAGATTGTCGTATATAAATATTTAATTTTTCTAGTTTCAATTCATTTCTAATTTGCCTGTTTGTTACTTACCACGAGGCTTTAATGATGGACCTTAAACATTTATTTTGTACTATTTGAATTTTCTCTACGTTACATTTGACGGCTGCACCCCACACAGGGGAAGCATAGGTAACAGATTCGATACAATCCTCTTGATCTGGATTCTCGAAAACCTCGACAAGCGTCGGAGTTGTGAAATACTGTGTGACCTCCATCGAAAAAAATCTTCGTTCTTGCCACTTGTGATTGTTACGATCCCCAAATAGTTGTAAATTTACTAGACTGGAAGTGCTGGTTTTCAGGTAATGCATTTCATTTATCAAGAGCATCGATGCTTGTTTTTGACGTCACAGTGTTTGGTATACAAAGAACGCTATAATTACTAATATTTTTACTTCTCATAGGCAAGTTCCTATGTGTGCATCATATTTTGCTAGCTTCTCCGTCTAATGTATTTCTAAGTTTGTTTTCTTATCTCGACATAAGAGCACTTGTTCTTTAAAAGCCAATCAAAATTATCTTCTCATAGTGTTACACTTATATTCCTCCACGAACTCCAAAAGTCAACACAGCTTCCTGAACGCGATACACAAAATGAATTCAATTTGAAACATTTGCTTTCAAACCAACCATCGTCGTTTATTGTGAGGTTTCCAAGTATCACAATCCTTTACAGTCAGTTCACAATAAGTAGACTTAAATAAAAACCTAATATTTTTACTATTTGTAAACTTGACGAATGTGTTCTAACCTACTTATACACTAGTATTAGTGAAACCACTGGTTCGACAACAGAACATTCTTTCTCGCATTATTTATAGCAACGCAATAATATAACACTACATTATTCTGCAAAAGGGCTTCCAAACCGCAAAAATATTTTTACACATTGCTTTTCGAACTCAGATTCTTACTTTAGTACGCCATTCACATCATCCTACACAATGAATCTCATAACTAAACTCAACCTTACTCACACACTAAAACAAAGTTTAATACTTGCATTTGCAATTTTTAAAAATTCAGTGATTTTCATTGTTATTATTTCAAGATTAAAAGAACAGAATTTATGAAAACATCACAATCTTCAATACTGCAGTTGCAGGGAGGTGGCGAAAAATGTTTCACTTTCTCAATTTTCGAAAATGCAGAGAGTTCACCGAAATTGGGACCTGCGCCATTAGTGGCCTTTGCATCCTTTGCTCTTTTCGAGAACAATTTAAAGAAAAAATATTGATTGTTTGAGAAAATATTGATTTTTATATTACCTATATTTCACCCATAATTACGCAAATCATACTTATATTTTCGAAAAAATGCACATGAACTTATTTCAAGACCAATCTTTGAATAACACATTTATTTAAAAAAAACTTTTTTTCAATATTGTAGTTGTAAGAAGTGGCAGAAAAATTGATCTCTTGCAGTTTTTAAAAATCCAGAGCTTTCAACGAAAAATAGTTTTAAAATGTTTAAGTGTCCTTTACGCCGGCCAAAGAAGATGTTTAATACAAAAATCTGTAGTCATATTTCAGAAAATTCTGAAGTTCAGTTCCATGCAGGTAGAGTATCCCTCAAAATAAAATAAATATTTGAAACTAGCAGGGCCTGGAGTCCGTTAGGATAGATCGGGGAATATATTTTGGAGAAATTCGTCAGAGCTACTTAGTTTGCGTTGACCACAGACAGACGTTTTTTCGTCAATCGAATTTTTGGTATCGAGTACCCACAGAAAGGTGATACCGACTAAATAATATATTAGAGGAAGCAATATACAACATATACACGTAGAAGAAATATTTATCTCGTGTTTTTGATATCAAATATCCATAATTTCGAATTTTTCTGTCGAAAAATCACCTTTTCCATCTACAGCATTTCAATAGTGTCATTGATACGCAAGTGTGTAGTAGACGAGAATAAAAAAATCATTCTTTAATTTTTCTTGTATATCAGTCAATGTTTTAAAGATATATTTATGAATTTTAGTGAAGGATATACCAATCAACTAATTTCGGTAACACCACGGTTTTTGTTGCTTTGCCCCAATAGTTGTCCCTCAGAAATAACGAATCTCGATGTTGACATCTCGTTATGATAATACTAATCATTATATTATGTTATATTAGTTATTATTATATTAGTTGCTGAAAAATATAATTCAATGGTTTTGTCGATTTTGTTGTTGTTTTTCATTCTTTATATAATATAAACAGTTTATATAAACTGTGGAAAAACAACATTATGAAGTAATGCATTGAGATGTAACGGGACCCATCTCTCATTGTAAACGAAATCTAGATCAATGGCATTTGTGATGAAGAGGGAGTGATTGTGTCTATTCCATGCGATTTGAAAAGAACGAGTAACTGATTATGTGATAAACACTCGTACGTTTAGGCTTGTGTCTTTTGTTGCGGCGTCACATGGCTTTTCCTAGCAAAACGTTAAATGTCAATTACCACTGTTTGCACTCGAACACCTGAATTGTCCTACAACCATTTGAAATCATCTAACGAAAAAGTCTTTCGATTAAGGAAATACGCACATTATTTGTTCATCATCAGAAACGTTTTGAGTTTACTAACATATTTTGTTTTGAACTTAAGCTACACGAAGTAACAATAATACAGAGAAGAGGGAATTATGCCACAGGTCATACTACTTATAATGATTTGCTAAGATAAGTTCTGAGAACGAAGTGAATACAAACTCGATTTAAAAACTAGACGAGCTACAATAGCACATACTTTCTACTACATTTGTAAGTTACGTACGTAATCTTATTATACTACTTGAACACACAAAAAATGTTTTATCCACCCTGAGATTCGAACTCGGGTACAGCGATTTTAGAAAGCGCTTTACTTAATCACC